GTTTCCTCCCTTCAGTTCCTTTTCTTCTTCCACAATTTGTTTCCTTGAAATTCCTTCCTCTATTGTCATCTACTTCCGTCTACGGTGGCCAGTTCTCTTTACCCGAAGTCTAACCCGCCACTCTACCACCTTCTCATTCTTCTTCTTACTGCTTCCCTATCCCATTCACCGTATCCTACCTTCAGGTACCCTAGAAATCTAAGCGAAGAAGGACGTACCTTCTTTGTCCCCTAGTTTACCCTACTTTATCCATTTGTATCCTCTAGTATGGTCTCAGTCTTCCCTATCATACAGTTGGACAAAAAACTTGCCCTTTGTATGGCCTTTCTGCACTGGTCCCAGCTTCCCCGTCGTATGGGCATTCTGTACTGATTATGTTCCCTAACCCCCACCCCCTACTCTGTCCTGCTCCTATCATAACCCTACCACCGCCCTTCATGCCGTTAATCTACTCCTCCACATCTACCGCATACATCGGTAGGGCAGGGCCGAAGATCATTTGACCTGTTCCCGCGTCCTTTCCGACCACCCTGGGGTACACCCCCCAGATTTTCCAAAGTTTACTTAGCAAGTAAAGTAATGTTGAGTGTACCAACTTTGGTAAATTTTCAAAATTTCAAGCTTGTAATTTTTTCTTCAGAATTTGGAAAACGATTGTGGAAGTAGATTGAGTGCTGATGTGTTCGGTAAAAAAATATTAGAAAAATAATAAAAAGAACAAACATTGTAATGAGAGTCAATTATGAGATGGAACAAATTCATCACGCGAGAGAGTTTACTAACCTCCTATTCGAAAGTCATCACGCTTCATCCCGGAGAATGGATGTTCGCTTGAGAAAAAACAAATTCCTTCAGCAACAAAAATCAACCCTCTCCTGCTGTCCGCCTTCGTTTAGAGAGCAGAGCATCATCACCACCTGGGTCGGGATCATGGCCATCAGGATCAGTTACAGTAGTCCCACCCGCTGCACGTTTCTCCATCTTATCTCTGAGCCCCTCTCCAACAACTGAACCTGCTGTCTTCCCTGATTGGTTCAGAAAGCCATTTCCGTCCTCACGCATCTCTTGTTCTGGTCCTACCCCTTTCAGACCCTTACCCACCTCCGATTGTTTTTTCTTCATTACGGCTTTCCCGACCCTCGCACTGGGCCTAACACCAACGCTGACAGAATTTTCACCCCTTGCACCAGAATTAGTGTCCCCAACCTTATCCACATCCATGTTCACGTCATCAACCTGTCTTCTTTTCTTGTCTGCACTTTTCCTCACATTCTGCTGAGCATTACCGAGACTGTTTACACCAGCAGGCCCGTGTGGCAAAGCCGTACGACTTTGACTGATACCTTTGTTCGCCCCTTCCTTCATCCCCTTGAGTTTCTGACTACCTGCAGATCTGGATTGCAAAGATGGTGAGTTGCTGGTACTCTTCTTTGTTGAATGCTTTGGCGGTACGTGCAAGGAACCGCACACACTTTGGTCATTGGCATCCTCCCCTCTTCTTGTCAAATCCGCATGCGCAGACATGCTCTGTGTCACTGGGCCTTCTTTGGGCTTGGAAAAAGATGTTGACAGCGCAGCCATAATCCGGGAACCATATTGCTCAGCTCTCGTCTTTCCAATTATCTCTTCAAGCTGCACACATATACCAAAATTGTGCAATTTGAAAGCCAACTGGCAAGTATCAGTCCATGGCCTGTGCAATATTTGTCAATGAGTTATGTCTCAGAAACTAAATCATACTCTACAGGCAGAAAGAACTTTGTTTCGCTCATTCATGATCCGTCCATCCATTGCTGAACATTGTACTTCTAGCGCAATGCTGCATTCCTTGCTGAAGGGCTGCCTTAAACCACCACTACCTTTCCGAGTGGAAGGCTAAGTCGTGAATATATAAAACCTATACGGCATTCTTCGGGTACAGTGAGCCTCCGGACAAAATGGCTGGCGGTGCCAGCATAAACAAGAGAAAAAAGGTCGCGCTGGCGCTTCGGCAAAGCTTTCTTTGGCGTGCAGTTCTTCTCCGCCTCGGCAAAATAGAGGCTCGGAGGTCGTGGTGGTTTAAGCAGACTGGACTCATGCTGCCCCAACATCATCAGTGGGTCATCCAATAGGCAAGTTGACAAGGTGTTGACTTTGGCCCTTCACCTGTTATGCCCGGTCCTGAGTTGGCCCAGTGAGGCTTTCAATGAAGCATGGCCAGTGCTGAAGGATGGTGCGGCATTCGACGGAGATGTAGACAAACCTTCAAGTTAATGGAATTGAATACGACTTGCACCAATCTGCATGTCTTGAACTGGGTCTTTTGGAAACCAAGGATGCTCACGATCAATGCATGGAAACAACTGGAACATACCATATGCCTGAAGAAGTTCGTAAAATATTTGTCATCCTTCTCACCTTTGATCTAGTTGCGAGGCTCAAGACCTTGATCCGCCCTACTGGGCCCTATTTCCAGTGCAGTCAGCCGCCCTAAGTGAAGGCAGGCTCGACCAAGGCCTACAGGCCCATTTCTGGGGTCACCACGCAACTGGGAAAATTCAGGCAGTTGCGCAGCGCCAGTTGGTTGAGAGTGCCCAGGCCCAGGTGCCTTTTTCGTATGTAACTGAGGCAGGCCCTGGCCCAGATACGCAACATAGGCCGAACACAGGCTTCGGACAGTTGGGCACGGGTAACCACCACAGGCCCTGGGACTGATTCGTTCGGACTGGGACTCAGCCTCACGGGGCCTACCGGAATCTTCTGGACTGAGGCCCAATGCAGGCAGGCCGCACCCAGTAGGCAGGTCACTTCCATTTAGGAAAGTGCCTGCCTCAGCACTCAGCATTCGGGCACTGGCTGCATGATACGCAAGCGCTGCTGCGCTAACGCTGGCCAGCGCTCACGCGCTCACGGGCGAGCTGGAAGGAGCAGGCAGCCATAGCCGAGCTGCGCTGCTGTAAGCTGGATGGGGCGCATGGTGGTCTTTGGGTGCATGTGGCATCTGTGGGTTGGGGATCTAGGTTGTGAGTGATACGAGAGACTTACCTGGTGCTTGAGGCGAACGGCATTGGCCGAGATCTGATCGTACTTCGGGGAGCTGTTGACGTCATCAGCGGCATTGTAGATAGGCTAGATAGGATCTGCCATCTGTAGTCTGGGCGCCGAGCGCCAGATAGGATATGGACACTGGTTCTTCGTTGATGATGATGACACTATACCAGCATTCTCAATTGTGAGCTTTTGCTGTGCTCTTATTTGGTGGAACTCGTGATGCAATTCTGCTATTGGTTCGAGGTCACGACTATCTGGTCTCATGTGTATGATGCTGTTTGATTTCTGAAGTTCACTATCGCTCATTTTCCTTGCAATTTGGTATTGGAGCTGTGGTACGTTGCGCTCATCTGGCGTTTGTCATCTGCCTATGCGGTACATGCATGCGGTATGCTGGGCGAGCTACCGTAGGGAGTGTGTAGTGAGGAGGGCGAAGGCAAGTAGGCGACCCAGGCGGTGAGGGGTATCGCCAGTAAGGCTACGTGGTGAATATTGGGTGTTCGCAGTGTGATGCAAACTATCTGATGTGCGATTGATGCTGAGGTGGAACGGCGGTGTAATGCTGGTTGTGCCGAAGCAGCGATTGGTCATCACAATCGGCATGGAGTCATCCGGTGAGAATATCTGTGGTTGGGGGCAGCTATTTTGACGTATGTTGCACCTAACCTTATCTACCCTCTTCGACACTTCTTATCGCGAGGATGTGTGTTCTGTCTTGAGAGTCCTCTCATGTGAGGAGTCGAGTGCGCTCAACCTTGAGAGTCGTCCGTGTTCACGTGGAGCATCTGGAAGGAGAGGGTGGTGCTATCTGAAGGGCCCTGGACGAAGCACTAGGTCACGGTCACCATGCCAACCCACCGGGAGTAGAGCACGCATGCTTTGCTGCTTCGTCCTTTGTCTGCTCGCTGCGCTATAGATGGGTTCTGAGGGGCAGGCCAGCGTTACGAGAAAGACGAGTACTGGACGTCTATAAATAAGTACTGGCGGGGACCTTCCATTGGCTGTGATCGTCGTCCTGTTTGCGAGGTTAAATAATTCCTGAGGATTCCAAGGGCCGTCCATAAAAACGCCTCCTGATCAGCCAATCGGTCAGTGTAAGGCTCGCTGCACGCGAGGATAAAAATAGTGCAGGGCTGGCCAGCTCAGCAGGACTCGGGGCATAGGGGTGGGCCGTGTGCACACCTTTAGACACGCACACTGTTCCGGATTGCTCAGGGACGTTGACGACAAGAGACATTCAGGAAGAACTAAGAGGGGTAGATTCCAGGTGATAAGTTTGGGAAAGATCCCACTCTGCAAACAGCCAAGCAAATGATTCTATTTTTATTTTGATTAGTTAGATGTACAACCATTAACATCTGACAGACAACATAGTTAGAATTGTTCTCTGTTCATTGTGCTTTCTGTTAGTGAACTAGTCAAAGTAGAGGTAGTTTCGTTTGTAGGAATTTGAACTTACCTATGGGACCCAAATGTATAGTCTCTGACATAGCCACTGATTATTGTAAATCGGTCTGTACATCATGCTGCGGTAGGCATCGAGAGTGACCTAGTGCAGACAGTGTACAGTGTTGTAGCCTATGAGCGACAGGGCGGACACTAGAGAGGACGATAGGATCCTGCGATCGGCAAGACGCCTGATAGCCCACTTGGCATTAGGACCAGAGGGCGACAAATATTTGTTTCGCCAGCAGAGGGAGAGACAGCAGCAGCGGAGGGCTAGGGCCGCAGAGGCAAGCAGGGCATTTGTGAGCGAGGACGCTACTTCAGCAGCCATGGCATCTGCTGCGGAACAAAGCTCTCAGGCTAGTGGTTCAAGTTTTGTAGGGTCAACGGTCGCACAGACCCTAAGTCAGTCTACTGGCGTCATGGCAAGCCAGCCAATAGTCTTGACTCCCGAGGAGGTCACCATACAGTGAGCAGCTATTCGCGGGGCACAACTACAACAGGCGTTAGGAGAGATTAAGGCAGAGAAAGAGAAGATGATTAGAAGAAGAGTCAGGATGCAGCAGAGACAAGCGGGCGTTAGTGAGTTAGAGGAGATGAACTTGACTAGCACGGAGGATGATGTGAGGACTTTGCGTGCAGTCCTGCTAGATGTAGTAGAAATGCAGGACTGTGACGAACCACTGCCTGCGGTGCGCGATTTTCTGCGCGATTGCAATGTGGGGTCCTAAGCTGGGAAGGCTGGGCCAATTACGAGAAATCGGGATCGGTGGGAAATTGCATCGGTGTTCTCGCTTCTTCGTCCTTTTTCGTCGTCTTTCGGATGGTTGGGTTTGGGGTCGGGTGAGTCCCGGGAGGTTCGGTTCGTTGATTGGCTGTGTGGGTGGCGCGCCGGCGTGCGCGCAAACAATAAATGTTGACGTCGCTTCTTTTGTTTCGGTTGTGGACTTTTGGGCGCGGACATCGCGCGGGGAATTTTGCTTCGTTTTGAAGTTTCTTTCTGAATTCTTTTTCAGATCTTGCCGAGCCCTGATGGCTCTCGGAATTTCGGACTTTCTTTTCGGAGTTTGTGCTTTTTGCTTTTCCGCATTAGATAGGAATTTAGGAATTTTGCAATTAGGACTTTCCTTTGCCGCGTGGCGCCTTTTCTTTTGTTTACACGCTCCTTTTTGCGGCTGCAACGGAACTCTGATTAGTCAGCGCCTTTAATCGTGTGTGTGACTGTAATTTTGGGCCGGCGCCATTGTAACTGTATCTTTCTTCTTGAACTTTGCTTTTCCCGCCCTTCTTCTCGTTCTTTTTGCTGCGTCTTGGTAGCCGCGGTCTGCATGATCGGATCGATGCATGGAGAGTGGCTACGTCCCCCACGCCGCGATTTGGCCATGCAGACGTAGGCAATCCCTCCCCCTTCTCTCCTCCCAAGTCCTTGTAATTCCGTGTTCTTCGCGCGTGCATGCACGCTATAAATTCCAGCTGCGCGATTAGTTAGCTCTCTTAACTAGCTAGTGGAAACTCGGGGTAGCGCGATCAGTGAGGGTCGGCTCACGAGCGAAGTAAGAGGTGAGTTGAAGCGGGAGTCGGGCGACCCGACGAGCTGGTGCCAAACGCGCGGGGTTGACATGGGCCACGACGGAGTGTGGGCGCGGGCGAACCTGACGGGTGCGGGAGGACTAAGCGGGGTGACGACTTCGTGGGTGGGTGCGCGACGACGGACTGTCCGCATCGGAGAGAGAGAGAGAGAGGAAGAGGGAGCTAAGGTTGATGGACGTGGATTTGCAGATTTCTTTGTCTTTTCTCCCTCTTTGCCTTTGTACATTCATTTTGATCTCGACTCTGGGCGATTTGCCCGTTTTTGTTTTCGGAATCTTGGCATGATTTTCTCGCCCACACTCGTTTTTGCAATTTTAATCCCGGATATTGTGTGTGCTATGCCGAATGAACGAATGAATGGATGTTATGTTTGTTTGCTTTTCCTTATGCCTGATCTTTGTCTTTGCTTGTTGTCTTGATACCCTCATGAGCATAGTAGGAAAATTCGCGAAAGCCTCACTGTTGCTATCTGCCCTTTTGATCTACTGTTGTACTGTGAATGCGTAGTAGCACCTTGCATATTCAGGGAGGATTGCGTGCGAGTCATGGGATGATTAGATGATCGGGTAGTTGTTTGCCCAGAAATCAGCGAACACCTCGCGGAGATGCGTGTAAGCTCGATCTGATCTGCGCACCTACACGTGTCCACGCGCGTCGATTGGTAACCACCCACACATGAAAAGGGCTAACGATTGCGGGGAT